GGCAATATATCAAACGCAAGTACTAAAATTATTATTGAGCTTCTAGAAATAGTTACTTTTTCATGGGGGATTTTGTCAAGCCATTTCTAAGTAGTCTTTTAACAGTCCTAATAATAATAATATCAATCGTCATTATCAGTATTAAGATTGCAATGAATGTGCTGCTATCAAATAATAATGAAAGTAAAATTATTCCGTGAGAAGTAATAAATTAATAGAGAAATTGAGTGCAATTTTTGCCCATTCTTCATTGTTATCCGTGAAGACAATAGTTGGTGCTCTGGGTCATCAACCATAGGTTGCTCAGATTTTTCAGTTCTTTTATCAGATGGTTAGGTCAAACAAACATATGCAGGGGTCAACAGACAGCTTTTCAATCTCCGTCTCAACTCACACTGGTCGACAGTTCCTCCTGGCTGATCCAGGGCCTCTATAACCATAATTAACTTCACGCAGTAAGTTTGAAGGAAAGTAAATGAGAAAATAATGGTAATGTTTTAAGGTCTTTAAATAAATTATAGGTGCAGCACAAATTATTGATGCATTTAATGCAATTAATTTGTATAAGTCAATAAAAAGTAAATAATGATGTGAACACTGCAAATCTAAAGTAAAGAAAAACGCTGGAAACATACAGCAGGTCAATCCGCACCAATTTTGTTTTTAGTGTACAAAAATAAGAACGTCAGTCAAAATAATGAAGTAAGATTATAACTACAATATTGATAAAGAGGTAAGAAATATCTAAAATGAAACATGGAAAATGCATTCAATCAAATAAAATCTACACTGATAAAAATGCTTTCCTTTTTATTATTTAAAATGTGCCGGGCTATTATGACACTACGGGATAAACGTGGAATATTTATTTATGAAATATGTTCCTTTTTATTATTGATTTGTATCCAAATTAGCTACCGTGCTAGCCATCTCTCATTTAGTTAGTTGCGATGCATTTCAAAATGTGTTAAGGCATTCAAAAATCAAAGAGTTGGCAACCAGTGTACCTGGATGATAAATGTAGATCTTTCAGATGAAGGAATAACACAACTTCAGAATCTGAAGTCTGTAGTTTAGAGATTAATGAATTATTATTCCAGATAATACATCACACTCAGTCGCTTATTTTTTGATGCTCTTGTTTGAAATAAATTATGCTTGCACTCGTGGGCAGAACTTATTCCCACATTGGCACTGGACGATTTACATTTTGGATGTCATGTAATGATCAAATAGCGAATTGAGTGCCTCGGTTATAATAATAACAATGAAATAGTAATCCTTGCGCGTGAAATAGCGCCTTATCATGCCGTTGAGACGTCTCAAAGCGATTCACAGAACACACGGTCGATACCCCTGACTTTATTTATTTTTGCGGCATTTGTTCTCGTCTATCTTTGCAGGGCTGTGGATTGGAGTGTTCCTCTGCCTCTTCCGGGTTTATCTGATCACTTCACAATCTCCAGGAGTGCTGTGCGTCTCTTTGCATTGCAGTGAATCATGGTTTCCACTCACCTGGCATGATATTTGCATTATATTGGGAAGGCGGTGGGAGAGATGGAGAGGAGGAGGGGAGGAGGAGGGGGAGAGGAGAGTGAGAGAGAGAGAGAGAGACTTGTTTCGAAAGCTCTAGTTGCCATGGATATCAGTCAAAGCTTGTGAATAAAAGAGCACGTCCTCCTCCCAGCGTCAGACCCCTCTCTCTGCTGGAGATGGTAGACTGGTTCATGCCATTTCTCTGTGGATACTTTATAAGGGCAGAGACTCAGCCAAGCACTGTACAGCAGCAGTTCTCTCGAGTTTCTTTCTCGCAGCCACAGAAAACCCTCAGGCTTCAAAAGTAACTTTAGTTTGAATGTAGTTGGAGCTCATCGAAGCAGTTCAGTAGTTCCTCCTCCTCTTCTTCTTTGTGAGATTGCTTTCCAGGCGTTATCAAGTGAGTAGCAAATTGGTGGATTGAAGTCTCTTGATTTAAACTGTCTTCTCCCCCCAAAAAAAGATTTAGAGACGAGTTTTTTTCCTTGTAGAAAAGGGGGGTGGTGGTGTTTTTTTTCAAACAAAAAGCGCCTAAATGATATTTATGTGAGAAAGAGGTAAAAAAAAAGGGGGATTGAATTGCAATGTATTTCTGAGATCGAGGGATAAAAGCTAAGACTGTTCCAAACTTTAATTCAGTCCTCATGTTAGAAATTGACGTTAACTTAATTGCACATTAACTCATTCAATCAAATAATTTGCCAATTATTATTACCAGTGGGTGGGGGGTTATTCCTGTTAGTAAATCAGACAAAGTTCATTTTAATGTGCTGTATATGTTATTGTGCTGTGGTGTTTTCCAGCTGTTTTCTGCCACTGCATGGGACAGTAATAGCTGCATAATAATCATTGCATTTCATTTAATCTTGTCTTCCAAAAAGTCAATTCACAAACAAACTCTCCCACACTCTTAACAAACAACACTACCTAAACAACTCTGCCAACGCTCTCTCTCTCTCCGTGTATTCTCACTGTTCATTCTCCACGTCTGATTTCTAGTCCCTGTCTCAATTTTCTTGGAATATTTGTGTTTACCAGTTTCTAAGCAGTGTGAGGCAGACGTGGAGACTATGTGTGTAGGACAGAGAGAGTTGCAATGATTAAGATGTCTTGTAGGTTATCTGGCAATGCAACAGATGGATAGACAGACAGACAGACAGTGTGAGGAAATACAACCAAATAAACTAAAATGAACTAAAAAAAACCTCAATCATTCTTATTTGAACCTGATGTCGTTGCTAAATATAATTCACCCACGACATGGGGAAGGTGGCTCTCTGGTTTGATTCTGATGTTCCTCGAAACTACATCACAGCTAGCTAATGCACTCCTTTTTAATCCAGATGGTAATTTATAATAATAATAATAATAATAATAATTTGACCAGATGGTTGGCTTCACCTTCTCAACGATGCAGATCCTCGTGTTCTGATTAGGAAAGAGGACCTGGAACCAGAGAACCTGCAAAGCTGCAGTGTTTCTATTTAGTCCATTTAAATGATTGAAGTCACTCAGGTTCCCACTGTAGAGCAGTTTACAAGTTCACTCCGGGCTATTCATTCCTCAGGGGAAGGAAATCAAGACAATAGTTCCTACTCTTCCTACTTAATATTATTATTATTATATTGAACATATAGACTAAGATACTGTCAACTCTTTCTGTCTCACACACACACACTCTCTCTCTCTCTCTCCCTGTTACACAAACACACACTGTCTCTCTATGTTACACTCTTTCTCTGTCACATGCTCTGTCTCTCTCTCCTTCTCTCTCTGTCACACTCTGTCTCTCTCTCCCTCTCCCTCTCACTCTGTCACACTCTATCTTGCATCAATGTGAGCCCCCTGACCAGAAAGATGCTCGAGTTGAGACAGTGCTATGTGGCTCAGTGATTATTGCTGCAGTCCATATAAAAAAATACTGCTGCTAACTTGGTGAAGCTCTCGATTTAAAAAAGAAGGGGGAGGGGGGGGAAACAAACTTTTTTTCTTTTGGGTTTGGATTTCCATTCCTCCCCAATCCCCCAAGTCAAACAAGACAAGACCTTGGAGAAGACAACCAACGTGTGCAGGAGCAGGAGCTCCAGCCTCAATAATAATAATAATAATAATAATCCTTGCATTTGATATAGCGCTTTTCACGTCTTCTAGACGTCCCAAAGCGCTTCACAGAATATACTGTAAAGTGAATTGACTGTATATTTGTGGGCAAAATGCATGTGCCTCTCTCATTCCCTCCTTACCAAACTCACATACACACTCACACACACACTCACACTCACAAATATAAAGGGATGTGATAAAATATTGGCTGCAACTGTCGTCAAATCTGCCACAGTCTCTCCAAATAAGTTTGTGCTCTCTCTCTCTCTCCCCCTTTCTCATGTTTATTATTATAATCATCATCTTTAACAGCCACAATCCACAGGAGCCCTGATTGAGAGATTGTGAAATGCCCTTTTTCCTCCCTTTTTTTTTATTAAAAGAAAGCTTCTTATTGATCAGACCCATTGGAGCTTCAAGGGTTTCAGAGAGACTTTTGCTGGTTCCATTAGTGGGCGTTTATGCAAATATCTTATGGCTGTTTTTTTTTTGGTGGGGTGGGTGGGGAATAGTAACTCTTGACAAAGATGGGAGCCTTTGGAATTAAAAGGCAATGTGTGTGTCTGGGTGGGAATCTGTGTGTGGAGAAGACCTGATGAGGCTACATTGGGAGTGGATGATGTTATCTAAGCACTGGGCTGCCCTGATAAATTGCAAACCCTGAAAATTGCCAAAGTGCAACACAAATCACATCCCATATAAACACAGCCCAGCACCAGCACCATGTGTTGTGTTCATTGCTGTGCAGCGCACGGATGGTTAGAATTCACACATCAATATTAAATATTAAGGGCTTTCTGGGCGATTTGCAATGACGATGAAACCATTTCCTTCTCAATCCATCAAGATATCGTCGTGAAATATTGATAACATTAATTTTTTTCATGGGAAGGAATGTAGGCAAGTGATTAGTAAGTGTGGGAGAAGTAATTATTGTTATTATAGTTGTGCTATTCCACATCTGTTTGAGGGTATCTTTTTAGATAAGAACACTCTTTTATTTATTTAAAAGGACGAATGCTTGCTGGACTCAATAGCCATTAAATAAATGATGGTTAGAGATATTCAAAATAATCTGTATACCCACTAAACATGGTAATCACCAGTTTGCTTCCTTCCACCCATCTATTTCGACTCACTTTTTCCACACTTTTATTTTCTCTGAAGAGTCAAAATGCATCTGTAACTCTGGGGCGCTCAGCATGAACTTCTTTGGGATTTTCATGTGTCTGTTTTTGTTTGTGTTGTTTGTTTATTTGTTGATTTGTTTCTTTTGTGTTTAGGAACCACCACAGCAGTGAGACAGTTAACAATAGGTGCTTTATTGCAGGGCTGGAGTCAGAGTGGCTCTTGATTTATTTGTATTTTCAGACTCTCTCTCTCTCTGATGTTTGCTGTATTATTTATTCACAGGGATGGGGCAGGAGTGATATGAAGAGTCAGGGCTCAGGATGGCTATGTTAGCAGGAGACAGCTCTGACTATGATTACAGTGCTCTGAGCTGTGCCTCAGAAACCTCCCTCAACCAGCCAAGCAAGGAGACCCAGCCTGTCAAAGGGGCATTTTACAAATCAGCCCATTTGGTTGACCCGCAGCAAGATCTGTACAGCAACCCGTGCCCACAGGATCGCAAGCACCACGTGATAATTAATGTCGGGGGCATCAAATACGTCTTGCCCTGGACCACCCTGGACGGCTTCCCTTTAACGCGCCTGGGACAGCTCAGGTCCTGCCACAACTTCGATGAAATCATGAAGATTTGCGACGATTACGACGTGACCTGCAACGAGTTCTTCTTCGACCGCAACCCAGGCGCCTTTCGGACCATCCTAACTTTCCTGAGAGCCGGCAAGCTGAGGCTTTTGAGGGAAATGTGCGCCCTCTCCTTCCAAGAGGAACTGCTCTACTGGGGCATCGAGGACGATAACCTGGAGAGGTGCTGCCGCCGTAGGTACCTGCAGAAAATAGAGGAATTTGAAGAGATGAACATTGAGGAGGAAGATTCTGTGCAGGGGGAAAACCTGAGTGATTTGGTCGAGCTCTCCCGATGTGACCGCTTCATGACTAACCTCAGGGATATGGTAGAGAATCCTCAGTCAGGACTCCCAGGCAAAATCTTCGCCTGCCTCTCTGTTGTGTTCGTGACCATTACTGTGGTTAATCTGTCCATCAGCACCATGCCTGACCTCAGAGCCGAAGAGGAAAATGTAAGTCTGTCCTTAAACACATAGTTAACTGTTAAAGCAAAGGGATGCAAACTCACCAGAAGCCTTCAGGTGCTGAATTACAATGCACAGAGTGTACATGGTGTGTTCAAGCCCCACGTCAGGACTTGGAATCACATCACTCTAAAATGGCACTCCAATGCAGTGCTGGGGTTTGTTGCATTGTCGGAGGTGCTGCCCTCCAGATGAGACATTAAATCAAGGTCCCATCTGTCAATCAATTTAATGTTAAAGATCCCGTGGCACTTTTCAAAAAGGAAAGGGAGTTTCTCCCAGCGTCCTGGTCAACAGTCTCCCAAATAAAATTGGCCATTCACTTCCTGACGAGTTGTGGGACTTTGCTGTGCACAAATTGGCTGCTGCTTTCACCCACAAAATAATAATATCTACACTCTATTGTAAGTGCTTTGAGAAGTCTCAATGACGCGAGATATCAAATGCAAGGATTATTATCATTTAATTAGAATTATCACACGTCGCATTTTCTCCCCATTGTGTTGGTTCTTGAGAAAGTGCTGAATTCACACAAGGTATGTCTGTCCAGACAGAGAGAGTAGGAGACCATGCCATCCTGAGCTACTTTTAGTGTTCATTTTCAATAGATTAGAAGCGAGAGGAGCAGAGGTCTGGAGACAGGTTGCCTGGCTACCTTCTCGACTGGGTACAAAACAAACAGGAAGCAAAAGCAAAATTACATGGATTCAAATAATATATATTTAGCGTGAGTATGATCATTAAATCGAGCCATAATTAAAGCTGCAGCTGTCAGTGGCCATTTTGTCCGCTCTCTTTTGCATGCTATTATAATTAAAGTAGGTTTATACGTTCTCCCAGCTTCAAAGTCTGGATATCTTTCCTCCGTTTAAGTCCAGCTCCTGTCCCTGTTCTGTTCAACATGCAGGCTGTGTTTTTGTCCCTCTCCAGTTTTTTTTGGTCAGTTATACAACTGTATAGAATAAAGCAATAATTCATAAGTCGGGTAAATTGTTACTGCTGCTGGACGTTTGTGCAAAACGTGACCAGAATTGTCAATATCCAGACTTTGCTCTGAGATGGGTGTTGGAGACGATAAACTGAGGGATTTCAAACTGAACAAAGAAAATAGATGAAATCATAACACTTTACGCAAGATGGAAAACTATGGGTGTGTGAAGGGGGGATGTCAGTTCTGTTTAAACTATGGTAAAGTTGAATAACATTTGTTCGTATATTCAGTCCTTTGTTTAGTGTTGTGAGCTGACAGCCAATAGTGACTGTGGATTATCCCAGGGCTGTGCGAGCAAATGTGTGATACGGGTGAAAACTCTTTCATTTACACCTCAGTGAGTAAAGTAACCTCCCAGAGCCACTGCAGCAATGATTTTGACCTTGACTCCTCCCTGCGATAGGGCTCCATCTGTGCATGGAGCAAAAATGCTGCAGGAAAATAACGTTTGATAAACAAAACCATCGACTCACTGAACGTACAGCACTGCTGCCTGTTGAGTAATGCCTGACACCGTGCACATATTCTGGTACATTACACAAAGTCTGGAACATGTTGAGATAAGACCATTAAGTTTTTTTTATTTCTGCCTGCAGTACTTGGTTGGAAAAGTATTTTCTCCGGATTCAGTGGTCAGAAAATCCACCACTATCTATCTCTAGGAAAATCTCCATCCCGTTGATGTTACGTTCTGCAGTTTTTTTCACATTGTCATTTTGAGTACCCAGGCCAGCATGATATAATAATAATCCTTGCCTCGTCCAGAGAAAGTCTCAAAGCACTTCACAGAATATACTGTAAAGTGCAGTCACTGTATTTCTGTGGGTGCACCTAGTAGCCAATTTACACACAGCAGTGACCCACAAAACATCTATGAAGTGAATGGCCAATTTTATTTGGAAGATTGTTAGCCTGACACCAGGAGAAAATCCCTTCTCTTTTTCAGAAGTGTCATGTGATTTTCCAGTCCCACCTGAACAAGCAGAGGAGACCTTGGTTGACTTTCTCATCTGAAGGACAGCACCTCCAACAATGCAGGTCACTCTCCTCCCAGGACTGCGTTGGAGTGTTGGCCTTGACCAGACTATATAAATTCAACATCCTGACATGAGTTTCGAGCCCAACAACCTTCAGACTTAGAGAAAGAGTTACTACAAATGAAGCCAATTTATGATAGAAATGGTACGCAGATCCAAGGAAGGACCAAATCGGTTTAGAAAGTGCCTAAATAAAATCGAATGGGACGCTGCACAAAATATAACAAGGCATTGTAATGTACTACGCAGAAAGCACCGGATGAGGAAGCAACAGTGTTTCCAGGCACAGTGTTAGAAACATGAACTCACCTCTGCACAGCATTGTGTATGAAGCTTGGACGGTGAGGCAAACATCCAAAACTGCGTTCTTTAAAGTAGCGTTGAGCTTCTCTTTTAACAGTTACAAGAGGAAAAGTGGAATATTGATATCTGTAGATACTTTAGGGTTTCTGTTTTTTTTTAAGACAATAAAGGGTAACGGACAGGGGAGATGGTAATACATTAACAGAATTGGTTACTGAGAGGTGGATTTATTGCTTTGATCTTGTGCTTTCCATTGTGTACTCGAGTGACCGTTCTGATTCTAAGAAACCAGGTGTTTTGAAAATGCCCAACATTGAAACATAAAAGCTTATGTATCCAGACAAGGTTATATAAATGCAAAGCTTCAAAGGCTTGCCAGAGGTGCTGGTGGTGCAAATTAGAAAAGAAAACCAGCAGAAAGGTTTTCTGTCGTGAGAAGGAGGAAATTGTGCTGTTTAATGGCAGCATTCTGAAAGTCAGTGTGATAGTAAATTATTTTGTGGGATGGGGGAGAGAGGGAAGGTATTTAGGTGTTTATACCGAAGGCTGTCAGAACCACACATTGACCTCTGTAAAACAAACCCATTTACAATAGAGCTGTCAGAGCAATGTTGTCACCACGGGGACAGCTATCAAGTACTTTGTGTTGATGCCCCCCAGGCACCATCGCCGATTCATTCAATGGTGACACCAAAACATTAGTGTGAATGCAGCATGAGGGAAATATAGATTTTCCTACAAAATATAGAGTCACTGCACTTTACAGCAAATCCTGTGCAGCATTTTTGAAACATCCTCCCAATGTAAACATCAAATGCAAGGAATACTATCATAATCTTTCAATAGAGTTGCTAATGTAATTGTAGACCTCGTTACAGAGAGTGCCATATGAGATTTTAGTTCACGATACCGTGTAAACATGGTGTTTCTGCTTGTAAGTTTCCCTGCCACTTGGGCACAGTTTTGAAATAACCAGAGCAGAGACTATGTCTGTGAAGTATAACATGGAACAAAACAGTATTTTATATGGAAGGTTAATGTCAGACACAAACGTGCAATTACAGAGGCATCTAATTATTCCACAAGCATTGATGCATGGATAATTCATTTTTCCCATTAACCACCTTTAAAATAGTGTTGCTCCACTACAAACCAAAAGATCTCATTGCAGTGCATGCTGCAATGCAGGTTTTGAGTCTCTCCAAAATAGTAATTCAAACAACAATTTGCATTTTATGTAGCACGCTTCACATAGAGCAACATCTCAGAGCTCTTTAACAGGGTCGGAGCTGGATGCTGAGCAAGGTAGAGGGGAGAGGGAGGGAGGAAGGGAGGACAGCCCATATACATGTGTTAAAGACAGAAAGAGAGAGGGCAAGATCCATTTTCCCCTTCCTTTCCTGTGAAATCAGTGCGATGTCTGCAGCGTTCCGTAACACGTTTCTTGCGTTAATTAAAACAGGAACACATTATGAAATTGCATAAATTCACCTTCAGAAATCTTGGCTCTGAGTTTGCAGGCTTGCTGTGAAAGCTATGTGAGTCAGTACAGATGTATTCTCAGATCTGGTTCTACATCTGTTACAACTTACACAGTTGCAGAAAAAAAAATCCTCAAGAAACAGGGGCTGAAATTCTACCAGCCACCGATTCTATCTATCATAATGCTGTTCACTATCATGGAAGATTTCATTGTAATTGCCACAGTTTGTACTTGGCAACAAAAAAATTTCACCAACTGTCCTTTCGACTAAGCAAAAGGCAGGAGGGAAATCAGTAAGAAGAGGGGGTGGTTAGACTCTTAGCATTGGGAACCCTGATGTTTCGGTAGCGAAAAGGAAGCAGAGAGAAAAATTTTGCCCAGCACCCCCCCAAAAAAATTCAAATCTTTGTTGTGTTAGCACGACAAGGAACGTGTGTAAAAGGTGAGGAAGATCACAGCTAGCGGGAGAGAAGACTCTAAAAATGGTCCCAAATGAAAGCAAACACAAAAGGTGGGCACACTGGAACAAACTGCAAATGTGTCATTGAATCTTTGGGGAAGGAACTGAAGCAAGATCGCAGGTGGCTGGAATAAATGAAGTGCCATCTGCAAAAGGCAGCACAGAATAAGATGTAGAATTTTCTAGGTGTCAGACAATAAAAACAAATGTTTTTATCAAAGGTTAGCCTTCGGAAAGCGACTCCTGGGATCACTTTTCCCTTTAATTGCACAGGTACTGCCACTCTGGGGAAAATGTTTTGTGCACAGTAAGTCAAGTATAATGGTCGCTGTTTTGCAAACAGCCAACTAGCATCAAACCAAAAAGTCAGTTAGTTTTTCTTTTCTGTCAAAGCAATGGACCCTTACTGTAACATCCTGACTCAGGCCAAGCTAAATAGTCCAATCAGATTGAGGACTGAGGTCAGTTTAGGTTTGACAGAGCAAGGATACAGTGAGCATCTCTTCCAGAATCAAGTGTGAAGCTGAGATACCTGACACGAGCATTTTTGGGTGTTGTCAGTGGGCACCTAAATCTGAAACTCTTCAGTGCACGTTAGTAACAACCTTCACTTTGATGAACCTGAAAAAAAAGTTTCTAAAAGTTGTAAAAACTTGGTGATCGGGCAACCCAAATTTTGCCTTTCGACCACAACACAAGCCGAAAATAAAAAGTCAGAACACATACAGGCAACAGCAGCTGACAGGCAGTACCAGGTCTCAAAAGCAGGTGCATTTCTCATTGCCGGCATTAAAGTTGACAAGCACCATTTTTCTAAGTTGGAAATCAGAACGAGCTCATAGAAAAAAAAGAAACTGAAGAAACTTTAAGCAGAACCATTTTTTTTTTTACCCAATTTACAGCACTTGTGAATTCGATCATCTCTCCTTTTAACGTCTCTTTGTTTTTTTCCCCCCCCCCCACTTTATAATAATATAATAATAATAATCCTTGCATTTGATATAGCGCTTTTCACGTCTTCTCGACGTCTCAAAGCGCTTCACAGAATAGACTGTAAAGTGAATTGACCGTATATTTGTGGGCGAAACGCGGCAGCCAATTGCGCACAGCAGCGTCCCACAAACAGTCGTGGATTGAAAATGACCAATTTATTATTGTTTTGTTTTGGAGGGATTATAAGTCTCTCAGGTTGATAAGAATTCAGCAACTCACACCTGACAACCACACAAATGAACTTCTTCTTACAAGTCCACTTAAACCAGGAAATACTGTGCTTCTTATTCGCTGTTATCGTATCTGTCAGATAAAAAGGTGGTTCAATCTCCCCCCGCGCCCCCTCCCCATGCCTACACATCATTAACCAAGGTTAATTGTAATTATCTGACAGGAATTAAGTATGAAGGATTGCCATTTGGGCAAGGTGTTCGAGGGTTCCCAGTGGAGTGGTTCTCCTGTTAAAGGACGAGCGGATTAAAAGGCTTGAGGAGAAAAGGGAAGGACATTGCTGAGAATAACAACCAGAATTTATTGTAACAAAAGATAAGCAAAGAAAAAGTAACAACAACAACTTGCACCCTTCATGTAGGGTAGCATGAGCACAGAGTTTGGCAATGGCAGAGCACACCACACTGAGCCGGGGGGAGTGGGGGAGATGACTATAGGCGTGTCCGAAGAGGAAGGTCTTCACGCGCGACCTGTAAATGGGGAAGGAGGGGGCAATGCAAAGGGTTAGAGGAAGAGTGTTCCAGAGTTTCGGTGTGAGGTGGATGAAAAAAAAAATTTTTTACAAAAAACTTGCAAACCAGATTCAAGGACATTGANTTTTTTTACGTGTGAGAAACAGTATATTGAAAAGGATTACCTTATTACGCTTTCAAAGTAGAGCACCCATTAGAGTAAATGCAGGAATAGAAGATATTTATATTTACGCAGTAAAGAAATGCCAACATCAAAGAAACTGCACAACGTTTGCACATCTGAGAATGTTAAAAGAAGCATCTTCGAGAATGTTGGTAACTTATTTGCTGTTCCGTCATTTGTGGTTGTTTTTTTTTTAGGGCGAATGCTCCAAGAAATGCTACAACATTTTTATCGTGGAGAGTATCTGCGTGAGTTGGTTCTCTCTGGAGTTTCTGTTGCGTTTCATCCAAGCCCGCAGCAAATTTGTTTTCCTGAGGACTCCTCTGAACATCATCGATATCATAGCCATCTTGCCCTATTACATCACTCTAGTGGTCGACACCACGTCATTGGAAAATGGGAAATCCTCAGCGGGGAATAGCTACTTTGACAAGGTGGGTTTGGTTCTACGAGTGCTTCGTGCCTTGAGGATTCTGTATGTCATGCGCCTTGCCAGGCATTCCCTGGGACTGCAGACGCTGGGGTTGACAGCCCGCAGGTGCACACGTGAATTTGGGCTCCTCCTTTTATTCCTGTGCGTGGCCATTGCACTCTTCGCCCCGCTGCTTTACCTCATCGAGAACGAAATGTCCGACTCGCAAGAGTTCACCAGCATCCCAGCATGCTACTGGTGGGCGGTGATCACCATGACCACGGTGGGCTACGGAGACATGGTGCCTCGGAGCATCCCAGGCCAGGTGGTGGCGTTAAGCAGTATCCTGAGCGGGATCCTCCTCATGGCCTTTCCCGTCACTTCCATCTTTCACACCTTCTCCCGCTCGTACCTGGAGTTAAAGCAGGAGCAGCAGAGGGCGCTGAGACGGTCACAGTTCCCGGTGAAGTCCAAATCGCGAATGAGCATCATTTCACTAAACAGCGACAACCTATTTCCGAGCCTGTCTTCAGAAGCCAGAGACAACTAGCAACACGCGAGGCTGTCTCGACTGCTAACAGCGTTATCTTGACTTGAAAGGGTATCGAAACCAAATTTTCCGAGTGAAGCATTGTGCACTTTTCTCTTGGCAGCGAGGAGAGATTTGATCTGATATTCAGATCAAGTATGTTTGGGTTGGAGTTGAAAGTAAAACCTGTACAATCCGATATGTAACAACTAACAAAATATCTTGACATTACATCAAGGATTAAAGTGAGATTTCTTGATATGCTTTATCCCAGTCAGTACAATAGATTTCAGAGATTTTTGAAATAAGGCAGTTTTTTATCAGAGTGCTGACAGTACTACACTTATCTTCGCTTTGATGAGTTACGTGTCAGGAATGTGGGAAGATTTCAAGTGCGATTCGGAGAAAGAGAACAATAGGCAGTAATTTAAACACTGGCAAAATTATCCAGCTGCCCTGCTGAATTGTCCAAGTGTCATTACTCACAATCTAACAAGCACAACCCTCACTGTGTGAAACAATTTCTTCTACCCTCCATTTTCCTTCTGGTGATAATCCACATTTTATTCCTTTTTGTTCCTGACTTTGTAATGATCTCAAAAGTGTAGCCCTCTTTATTTACCTTCAAAACATTCATAATTTTTTAAACCTTTATTAAAAAATCTCCTTTAACCCTCTCTTTGCTGCACCAAAAACAGCCCCAACTTTTCAAGTTCATTAAAACTTAGCATTTACATGCGCAGTCACTACATTTCACAGTAAAATCCTGTGAAGCGCTTTGAGATGTCTCAGCAATGTGATAATAGTCCTTGCATTTGTTACAGTGCTTATCACGTCTTCGAGAAGTTTCAAAGTGCTTCACAGGATGTACTGTAAAGTGAAGTGACTGTGGGAATTAACTGTCTATCAAATGTAAGCATTATTATTAGGCCAGTGAAGCTCCACTGTAATTTTTCTGTTTGACGTGTCTTATCAATATTTAGATGCCCCAAACTGGATGTAATGCTCCAACCGTAGCCTAGCAAATGTCTTGTACAAATACAACATTACATCCTTGCTCTTGTGGTCTATGCCCCATTGTATATAAAATAGCAGAATGAAACTGAATGCTCATTGCACATTGTACGCTTGAATATAAAAAGTAATAGTAAAATATAACAAAAGCTTCTGTTGAAACATTCGTTTCTATTTGCTGTCAGTGTTGACAGGAGTACTATCTATGGTCAGGAGCAGAGCAAATAATATTGTCTCATATGAGTGATAAATTCATGTTTTACTTGAGCAATGAGTCAAACACAAATCACTGCAAGAATCAATCAGTCAAGAATGATTAGTCAGCTATAGCACTTGCAAACAGAAATCAATGCGTGTCACATAAGGATCTTTTTCCGCTAAAGGATAATCTATTGCAACATTTTTAAATGATGCATGCAGTACAAATCAGTTGCTTGAATAAGCTGTGCGCCTATCAGCTACAGTATTGTAATCCTTCCACCTGAGCTTAAAATAAATAAAACTAAAGAGCCCACTGGCAGTGTGCTTTGTGTATGCATTTTAAGAAACAATGTTGAACGTCCCAAAATTTCTGTACGTGTATACAAATAAGGACAAGCATAATGGAATACAATTCTGCTAGGAATCCCCTAATGGTGAGAAGGCTTATTACCTTTCTTCACAAAATGACCCCTGAATAAAAGTTGTTACACTTCAAACAAAGTTGAGAGTGGCATTGAATTAATTGATGAACATTTTGACATGAAATGTTAATTGACAGTTGTTTAACTACAAGTGGGAGTGACGTAGCTTAAGAATCGTTTTACATTTTGGAGAACAAATCGTGTTTTTTTTCCCCCATAACAGGTAAATGCAAGACTCAAAGAAACTGTTCAATTAGGTGTAAAGGGTCCCAGTCGACGGAGAAAAACATTCTTCGAATGGAAGATCATGAGAAAGATGCTTAGGCATTAAATAACTTGCATCAATAAAATCAAAAACATGACAGTGCCAAGAATTGTTTGCAGAGGAATTACTTTCTATTACTTCTCAGCAGGAGGTGCCCATTACTAAGAAAGTCCTGGATCTCAGACTCTTGGTAAGGCATGAATCCATCACTATATTTACTGTAATTCCTTTCAACTTACATTGGTGAATACATGTCAGCATCGGTAGCCCATTCAATACATGAAACTCTTAAAATAATAAAGATTTAACTTGAGCATCCATTTGTCTCTGTTTATTATTGAACAATTTTGCTTAAACAATAAGTGAGATGGTGAAGCAATGTACTGCCTTGTTAGGAGTTTCTTCCAGTGTCCAGTTCAACAATATTTGAGATTAACTTGCCACGGTTGTTTGTAACAATTTGTTAGAATAAAGTCTTGCCTTATTTATCTACAAATAACACTCAGTGCCCATTGACAGTAAATGCTTGAAACATTTGCAAACAGTAAGGCATTGTATAAATGTAATTTTATTACACTCGCTTATAGAATTGGGCCCAGGAGCATCTCAGGCAATTACCCCCAAAGACGTCATAAACATTCAATTTGTAAATTAAATTATTCAAGCTATTAACAGACAGAATGACACAAAGTTAAATAACCATTATCTTCTATAGCTATTGGTTTTTATTTTGAAATAAGCTGCTGATTCTGACTCTCCCTTTTTAAGCTTCACAGTGAGTGAAATAATATTTAATTCGATTTAACTTAACAACAGTTTGAGCCACTCTCTTCCCATAGAATGATAGAAAAAATATTCTGTTGATTCATGTTGTGAAACTTAACTCGTTGGACCTGATTAGATCACGCCAATTCCCTGATCATGCCATTAAAGCAACCAGTGTTCTTCATAGCTTCTTTTGCCTTCACTAAACTAGNAAAAAAGAAAGNAAAAAAACAGNAAAAAAATTGCAATCTTCTAAATATGAGCAATGCTTTTATGGATCTGTTAATCCTAATGTCAGTAAGACTGCACTGAAACAGCTTCCTTGTCGTTTGATAAAATGCACTTAAAATATTCTGATCCTTGTAAAAATTGACCAGAAAATGTAAAACGTCCTGACTTAGGTCTTGCTCTTGCACGATTTATAATTGATGATTTCTGTGTTCGGAATTAGAAAGTAAATGTTGCACCAAACGTTCTCCTATTTTTAAGTTGCATAAGTAAAATTAGCTAATCTTTTGATGTGATGCATCAAAATAAAATATACAGATAAAAAATACAGTGTGTTTGTTTTCACAAATTAATCGCATAACCAAGGCTTCCGTTTTAACAGGAGTAAAATGAGTAGAATTCTGCTTTTGTGCACTCCCAGCCCAGCTCGAAGCATGAAGGTTTACTGAAAAACATTGGTTCGTCACTGTCAGCACATGGATCACAGGCTTGTTATCGCATCCTTTTATCTTTACCTGACTTGGCTGCCAAGTGTGAAACTGAGCCATACAAAACCTGCCAGGTCGCACATTCAAACGCTCTGGGACGCTGCTCTGGGCGAGAGGCGCTATATACATGCAAGTTGCTGTCGTTGCTGAAATTGGCCTCAGCAACGTGGGATTGAAGAAGAGTCGCAAAATCAACTGGAGCTCAAAATCTGCTTGCTCTCCAGTGACCCCAGCAGGAAAATATCTGTACGTGTGTGTGTGTGTGTGTGTATAAGCTAAAGCAGAATAGAATTTTCTACAACGCTATGTAGTGGTTTATTTTCTTTCTGGAAGCCACACGAGAATTTTTTTTTATGGGTTTGTGTTGTTCGGAATTTCTAACGAGAAATCCAGTAGATTGTAATGTTTATGGGATCCCGACACATGATAAGCCTGGCTCTTCTTTCCCGTGGCCATGATTTTCCAATTAATAATAATAATCCTTGCATTTGATATAGCGCTTTTCACGTCGGGAGGAGGTCCCAAAGCGCTTCACAGAACACACTGTAAAGTGAATTGACTGTATATTTGTGGGCGAACGCGGCAGCCAATTGCTTCTCTTTCTTCATGATCTTTACTTCTGTGTGCATCTCTCTGATTCCCCACTCCCCCCTCGAAAAGAGGGAGTTTTCTTGCTCAGCTCCGTACACAGAATCATTCAGGTAGCCACACGTTGAGAATCTAAAAGCTGTTCGTTACTCCAGGGGCCACAGTATTCCATGACTGCAAACTTGTATCGTGATGCAGCCAGCTTTGAAATTTCACAAGGAGCAATTCATGTCAAATAAGCTAAAATCATTAAAATATAGAAAGCGTAGGAATAAATGTGATATTAGCACCACGAAAGATACAACGCAAAGATTTAAAGTGTTTGCCTAGAACAAGCTGGTAGTTGAGCCACCCAAGATGATTTGTCTTTCAGCCCACGAGTTACTTTGGCCAGTAACACTCTGGATTTTTTGGGGGATAAACATTTAGATCCACTGTATACATTGCTGCTGTTCATCATAAGTCATTCATTCACTCATTCTACGCACAGCATGTAAAGCTTTTCCATCATTAATTCAGTGAGAAATAAGATGCCACAAATAAACCAGTTCCACAAAATCAGTAGCATCCATCCATATTCAGTTTGCTTGTTGGGTCTGTGTGTAACATAGAATTAAAAAGAGTGCTTTACACGCCCTTTTCTTTTTTTCAGCCGCAGCAAAATTTGTTTTATGGCTTAAACAGTAATTGAGTTTGTTTTGTACTTTGCGTCTAATAAATACTATCCCATTTATTGTGCGTCCTTTGGTAGTATTGGACACATGCTGCTTCACAATGCAGTATATGCGTCATTCAAATTTATGCATAGTTATAGTGTGGAAGAAAGAGAACACTGAATTAACTTGTCACTTTCAAATGATCAAGTATCTTTGTTTTAACTAGAGGAATGCGCGTAGTTAATAACTGCTGTGCTCAGGCAAGCCTTATTTTATTTCATGCTATTTATTGTCCTTACCATACTTGTACATCCTTGATGCCTGGACTCTGAAGAATGTACAGTTTGTTGCATTGTTTCAAGGAGAGATTTGATTAATAAGAATTCTGCTTCGTGACTTGTCCTTTGAATTCACGATGTCTCAAATAATCCTTGTTTATCAATCACCATTTGTCATTTCACCAACTTCTAAAGCGTCGTAAATAACATTTACATTGTACATCCATTGTCACGCATCCCAAAATACAATGTATACAGTCCTCTGCTATCATACAAGAATAGTTCAATTAATTTGCTGTGTTAGTGAAGAGGCGCATTTTGTATTGAGAAAATGTTAAGCTTTATTACTTGGTGATTAATATAGTTGTTTTAGTTATACATATAATATTTTCAAAAATATTATTTTTAATATACTTTTGTGCATTTGTGAAGCTATATAAAAAATAATAATAATCCTTGCATTTGATATAGCGCATTATTACGTCTTTGGGATGTCTCAAAGCCCTTCACAGAATATACTGTAAAATGAATTGACTGTATATTTTGTGGGCGAAGGCTGAGAAGAGATGTTGGAATTTTTATTAACCCCAGTCACAAATTGACTGGCTGTGCAAGACCCCAGTCATTTTGTTTAACAACAACAAAATTAAGTTTGTTTAACGCAATGGTTGACACAGATCTGACTATTGCATTTTATGAACAGTACAACAATAATTGGTAAACAGAATCTCCCTGGAGTTGAACTCCCTCCAAAGAGACATGCATGCCAAGTCATCAAAAAGACCTGGAGATACAGAGATGTCCTCCTCCTGTGAATCAAAGCCCAAAGAGATAGGGTGGTCCTATCTGGTTGCATTCCATGCTGTGCCGTTACTAAATGGTGATATTTTTAGAGCCCAGCACACTTGCTGCAAACAGACTGGAGAGACAGATGTCGTGGCATATTTACATTCCCAACACTGTGACATTGGTTTTGATTCACAAAAGGTTGGTTGCCTAGGCAATAAACTTGGGCTGCGTCCCTGTTTGGTTTACACAGACGCACCTCCGGTCCATTCTGTTGTGAGACTGATTCAGTTGGGGCTATGTTTTAACACCAGTACCAGTTTGTAGTGTGCATTTCGGCAGCATTTGCAATGTTAACTTTGTATCTGATCGATTTGAAACCCTTTCACTTGATAACACTTTATAAGAAATACAAGTTCTTTCTTTAATCCCTGCAAAAGCTGAAATATTCTTCCACAAACTTGGCAGTGAAATGAGGCGTAACTTTAAACACTAGTTGAAGCCTGCACTTTGTTAACATACGTTGGTTGTGACATCTTAATTGGTAGCAATGACATTACTTAGTATTCGTTTGAGCTTCAGGAACACATAACAGTCAAATACACTGCACATACAATCACCTAAAAAGCAGTTTCATCAACACGCTTCCCTTAAAAGGCAAGATAGAATCTGCTCTGGTAGTATTTTCACACTCACCTAGCTTTATAGGAAGCAAGAATCAGTGTTATCCGCTCTAGGGGATCCTTTTACGGACACTTCAAGAAGTCATTAAGAAAAGTGTGATATGTTTGTACCAACCTTGGTGCCAATCTGGCTGCAATGGTGATGTTATCGAATCAGTAGCTGCTTGTAGCTTTAGACAGATTCATTTCCAATTTATTCAAGCAGAAAGTAGAAGTCTTCCAAGAATTGCTGTTACATATGGCTGGAAACAGCACCCACGGGACTCTGGATGCCAACACTTGCTTTTCAATGAGAGATTACTGCATTAGGACATGTCATTTGGTGTCATCAGAGAACGAGAGGAATATTCTGAACAATTGCAATAGTTATTTGAAGGAATCTTGTTGATCTTCGGCTCTTTTTAATCCCTATATTGCTTTTCATTGACTTTATCCCAGAGCAAAAGTAGTTACATTGAGGGGTGTCTGTATTCATGTATTAAATAATTCAAACTTCTTTTAAACATGTTTTCACCTATTCCAAGGGCCTATTATAAATACTGTACTGCAG